AGGCCCTTGTTCTTGCTTTTTTGCACACGCTAGGCCCTTGTTATTCCAATTTTGCACACGCTAGGCCCTTGTTCTTGAAAAGTTGCACTCGCTAGGCCCTTGTTCTTGAAAATTTGCACTCGCTAGGCCCTTGTTCTTCCAATTTTGCACACGCTAGGCACTTGTTCTTGCTATTTTGCACACGCTAGGCCCTTGTTCTTGAAATTTTGAACTCGCTAGGCCCTTGCTCTTGCAATTTTGCACACGCTAGGCCCTTGTTCTTGCTTTTCTGAACTCGCAAGGCCCTTGTTCTTGACATTTTGCACATGCTAGACCCTTGTTCTTGCAATTTTGCATACGCTAGGCCCTTGTTCTTGCTATTTTGCACACGCTAGGCCCTTGTTCTTCCAATTTTGCACTCGCTAGGCCCTTGTTCTTGCTATTTTGCACACGCTAGGCCCTTGTTCTTCCAATTTTGCACTCGCTAGGCCCTTATTCTTGCAATTTTGCACACGCTAGGCCCTTGTTCTTCCTATTTTGCACTCGCTAGGCCTTGTTCTTGCAATTTTGCACTCGCTAGGCCCTTGTTCTTGCAATTTTGCACTCGCTAGGCCCTTGTTCTTGCAATTTTGCACATGCTAGGCCCTTGTTTTTGCTATTTTGCACACGCTAGGCCCTTGTTCTTGCTATTTTGCACACGCTATGCCCTTGTTCTTGAAATGTTGCTCACGCTGGGCCCTTGTTCTTGCTATTTTGCACATGCTAGGCCCTTGTTCTTCCAGTTTTGCACACGCTAGGCCCTTGTTCTATAAATTTTGGACTCGCTAGGTCCTTGTTCTTGAAGTTTTGCACGCGCTAGGCCCTTGTTCTTGCAGTTTTGCACATGCTAGGCACTTGTTCTTCCAACTTTGCACTCGCTAGGCCCTTGTTCTTGAAATTTTGCACACGCTAGGCCTTTGTTCTTGCAATTTTGCACACGCTAGGCCCTTGTTTTTCCAATTTTGCACTCGCTAGGCCCTTGTTCTTGCAATTTTGCACACGCTAGGCCCTTGTTCTTGCAATTTTGTACACGCTAGACCCTTGTTCTTGCAATTTTGCACTCGCTAGGCCCTTGTTCTTGCAATTTTGCACTCGCTAGGCCCTTGTTCTTGCAATTTTGATCACGCAAGGCCCTTGTTCTTGCAATTTTGCATACGCTAGGCCCTTGTTCTTCCAATTTTGCACTCGCTAGGCCCTTGTTTTGCAATTTTGCACACGCTAGGCCCTTGTTCTTGAGATTTTGCACTCGCTAGGCGCTTGTTCTTGAAATTCTGCACACGCTTGGCCCTTGTTCTTACTAATTTGCACACGCTAGGCCCTTGTTCTTCCAATTTTGCACTCGCTAGGCCCTTGTTCTTGCAATTTTGCACACGCTAGGCCCTTGTTCTTCCATATTTGCACTCGCTAGGCCCTTGTTCCTGCATTTTTGCACACGCTAGGCCCTTGTTCTTGAAATTTTGCACTCGCTAGGCCCTTGTTCTTGAAATGTGCACACGCCAGGCCCTTGTTCTTGCAATTTTGCACACGCTAGGCCCTTGTTCTTGCAATTTTGCATACGCTAGGCCCTTGTTCTTCCAATTTTGCACTCGCTAGGCCCTTGTTCTTGAAATTTTGCACACGCTAGGCCCTTGTTCTTGCTATTTTGCACACGCTAGGCCCTTGTTCTTCCAATTTTGCACTTGCTATGCCCTTGTACTTGCAGTTTTGCACACATTAGGCCCTTGTTCTTCCAATTTTGCACTCGCTAGGCCCTTGTTCTTGCAATTTTGCACAAGCTAGGCCCTTGTTCTTGCAATTTTGTACACGCTATGCCCTTGTTCTTTCAATTTTGCACTCGCTAGGCCCTTGTTCTTGCAATTTTGCACACGCTAGGCCCTTGTTTTTGCTATTTTGCACACGCTAGGCCCTTGTTCTTGCTATTTTGCACACGCTAGGTCCTTGTTCTTGAAGTTTTGCACGCGCTAGGCCCTTGTTCTTGCAAATTTGCACATGCTAGGCACTTGTTCTTCCAATTTTGCACTCACTAGGCCCTTGTTCTTGAAATTTTGCACACGCTAGGCCCTTGTTCTTGCAATTTTGCACACGCTAGGCCCTTGTTTTTCCAATTTTGCACTCGCTAGGCCCTTCTTCTTGCAATTTTACACACGCTAGGCCCTTGTTCTTGCAATTTTGTACACGCTAGACCCTACTTCTTGCAATTTTGCACTTGCTAGGCCCTTGTTCTTGCAATTTTGCACTCGCTAGGCCCTTGTTCTTGCAATTTTGCACACGCTAGGCCCTTGTTCTTGCAATTTTGCATACGCTAGGCCCTTGTTCTTCCAATTTTGCACTCGCTAGGCCCTTGTTTTGCAATTTTGCACACGCTAGGCCCTTGTTCTTGAGATTTTGCACTCGCTAGGCGCTTGTTCTTGCAATTCTGCATACGCTAGGCCCTTGTTCTTACTATTTTGCACACGCTAGGCCCTTGTTCTTCCAATTTTGCACTCGCTAGGCCCTTGTTCTTGCAATTTTGCACACGCTAGGCCCTTGTTCTTACTTTTTTGCACACGCTAGGCCCTTGTTCTTCCAATTTTGCACTCGCTAGGCCCTTGTTCTTGCAATTTTGCACACGCTAGGCCCTTGTTCTTACTATTTTGCACACGCTAGGCCCTTGTTTTTCCAATTTTGCACTCGCTAGGCCCTTGTTCTTGCATTTTTGCACACGTTAGGCCCTTGCTCTTGCAATTTTGCACACACTTGGCCCTTGTTCTTGAAATGTTGCACTCGCTAGGCCCTTGTTCTTGAAATGTGCACACGCTAGGCCCTTGTTCTTGCAATTTTGCACACGCTAGGCCCTTGTTCTTGCAATTTTGCATACGCTAGGCCCTTGTTCTTCCAATTTTGCACTCGCTAGGCCCTTGTTCTTGAAATTTTGCACACGCTAGGCCCTTGTTCTTGCAATTTTGCACACGCTAGGCCCTTGTTCTTGCAATTTTGCACTCGCTAGGCCCTTGTTCTTGCAATTTTGCACTTGCTAGGCCCTTGTTCTTGCAATTGTGCACACGCTAGGCCCTTGTTCTTGCTATTTTGCACACGCTAGGCCCTTGTTCTTGCACATGATAGATTCCCTTGTTTCCGTTCTCCTTGGCCCCACTTGCACTAGAAGTGCGAAATGCCGGCCAGACTGTTCGATGCACCATTTTCTCTACACATGTGCGTTAGTTACCTTTCAAACCCTTACGTTCACTCGATTAATATATTTCCTACCTTATATTTGAGTGAGACTGTCAGAACTATATAGCTTATGCTATTGTGTAGGCTATAGTGGGGTATCCCATAGGGGGTACAACCCAATTAGGGTTTCCTATATGTACTCACTTTGTTCATAGTCATTCCATTCTCGTTCACTTCTTCTCATGGTATTGAGCAGGTTCCCCTGTGGGACCTGTGCTTAGGGCCCACCACCTCGAAAAGATTTTTTTTTTCTGCCCTAGCCGCTAGCGCGCCGCCCGCCCTCGAACGTAAGCGCCGCCCCTAGCGCCCTAGCGCCCGTCTACTACCTGCCCTAGAGCCGCCCGTCGTGCTGCCCGTGCAGCCGCCCTAGCGCCGCCCGTCGCGCTGCCCGTGCAGCCGCCCTAGCGCCGCCCGTCGCGCTGCCCGTGCAGCCGCCCTAGCGCCGCCCATCGCGCTGCCCGTGCAGCCGCCCTAGCGCCGCCAGTCGCGCTGCCCGTGCAGCCGCTCTAGCGCCGCCCGTCGCGCTGCCCAACGCGCCGCCCGTCGCGCTGCCCGCTGCCCGCCAGAGCGCCGCCCAACGCGCTGCCCAACGCGCCGCCCATCGCGCTGCCCAGAACGCCGCCCACGCGCCGCCCTAGCGCCGCCCGAAGAGCAGCCCGTGCAGCCGCCCGTGTGCCCGCCCGTGCAGCCGCCCGTGTACCCGCCCGTGCACCCGCCCGTACGCCTACCCGTGTGGCCGCCCGTGCACCCGCCCGTGCATCTACCCGTGCGCCCGCCAGTGCAGCCGCCCGTGAGACCTGCACGCCGCCCCAGCCGCCCGTGCAGCCGCCCCATTCGCCCGTGAGCCGCCTCGGCCGCCCATGCAGCTGCCCGTGAGCCGCCCGCTCGCCGCCCACGAGCCACACCAGCCGCCCGTACAGCCGCCCGCGCGCCGCCCCAGCCGCCCGTGCTGCTGCCTACGAGCCGCCCGCGAGACGCCTACGCCGCCCGAGCCGCCCACGCCGCCCGAGCCGCCCGAGCCGCCCGAGCCGCCTGAGCCGCCCGAGCCGCCCGAGCCGCCCGAGCCGCCAGAGGAGCCGAGCTCCTGCTCCTGTGGGGCTGCTGCTGCTCTTGGGCCGTGTTGCTGTGCCGCTCAGCTACCCGACTCTTCCAGCCCGGTGAGACTGTCAGCTACTGTAATGGCCACCCCCAGTGTCCTGGCCTTTGACGCTGAGGGTCGCGCCATTGAGTTTGCAGTCTGGGTTGAGGACCTGCAGCTGTACTTACTGTGCGATGCGATAGATGAGGTTTCTCTCTTTGACTTTGTCTCTGGCACTGTCCCTGCCCCCCCTGCTGATGCTGACCCCGCTGTTCGCTCCAAGTGGGCGACACGCGATGGTGCTGCACGTCTTGCTGTGCGTCGCCACCTCCCTTCCTCCGAGCGTGCACACTTTAGTCAGTGCAAGACCGCTCAGGCCTTGTACGACGCTGTAGTTGCGCGCTACTCCTCCCCTTCCTCCGCTACGCTGAGCCGCCTCATGCTACCGTTTCTCTTCCCTGACCTCGCTGCCTTTCCCACAGTCGCTGACCTCGTTACCCACCTCCGCGCTAGTGACACTCGCTACCGCGCTGCGCTTCCTGCTGAGTTCCGCGCCGCAAACCCTCCTCCCATGTACATCACTCTCTACTTTCTCGTCACCCGTCTCCCTGAGTCCCTTCGTGTCGTTAGGGACCAGTTTCTCTCTGTCTGTCCCACCACCCTCACTGTCGACCTCCTTGAGAAGTCCCTGCTAGCGGCTGAGAAGAGCATAGTCGCTGTAGGGGCCTCTCGTGGTGACCCTCGCACCCCCATCTTTGAGGGGTGTTCTCCTTCCCCCCTGTTGCCCTCTGGCGCCTCTGCTGCTGCGGCCGACCTTGTTGGTTTTGAGTCGGTTGGTGCGGCGTCTGCCCCCAGCGGTAGGCGCCGCTCGGACAAGGGCAAGGGGGGCAAGGGAGCGGGTGGAGCTAGCGGGGGCAGTGGCGGAGGAGGTGGGGGCGGCGGGGGGAGTGGGGGTGGCAGTGGAGGTGGTGGCGGGAGTGGAGGTACTGGTGGCGGCGGTGGAGGCAGAGGTGGCGGCGGAGGCGGTGGCGGAGGAGGCGGTGGGAGTGAGGGTGCCGGTGGCGGCAGTGGCGGTGGAGGCGGGGGTGGCGGTGGTGGAGGTGGTCGGAGTAGCTCGTCTCAGCGGAGAAGCACTGGGGGTGGTCAGCGCCAGCAGCAGCAGCAGCAGCGCTCTCGCGACGTCCCCGCCCCTCAGCAGCTCCGTGAGTGGTACTCGTAGCGTTAGCGTGGTGGGGCGTTTGGTCCCTGCCCCTACGTTCTTCGCACCGGCGACCGCGCGGGTGAGCAGTGTGGCGGCACCCACACCGCCCGCCGCTGCTTTGGCCGCTTGACGGACGCCTGGCGTCAGCAGTTTCCGGAGGCCTCTGAGATCCCCCACTGGGGAGAGCTGTCTAGGGCTGGTGTAGCTATTTATGATCTTGACTTTGATGCTATCCTTGCTGCTATGTATGCTGTGACTGTTAGTGATGAGGGTGACTGTTGCCGGTGTTTCCCGCCCGACCCGGGCATTGGTACTGCTGCTCTAGGTGCCTGTGCGGCTGCTGCTCTAGGTGCCAGTGAGGCTGCTGCACTAGGTGCCACTGCGCCTGTACGCTCAGGTACTGGCGAGTCTGCGCTCTCAGGTACTGTGTCGGCTTCGGCCTCTCACACCTTCACCCTGGACTCTGGGGCCTCTCGCTCCTTCTTTCGGGACCGCACCACTCTCACGCCGCTTAGTCGGCCGGTTGCGGTGTCCCTGGCTGACCCCTCTGGGGGGCCTGTCCTTTCTCGCTTCTCCACTGTCCTCCCGTGTCCGGCGGCCCCCTCTGGCACCCTGTCTGGTCTCTACCTCCCCTCGTTCTCTACGAACCTGGTGAGTGGTGCTGACCTACAGGATGCGGGTGTCCACCAGTTCACTCCTGCTCGTCAGCGGGTGACACACTGCACGGAGGCTAGCACAGGTCGCCACCTGGCTACGTTTACACGTCAGCCAGGGTCGAGCCTGTACACACTGACCACTGCTTCTACTTCAGGGTCCGTGTCTGGTAGGGTCCCTTCGTCTGGTCAGGTGTTTGCTGCAGCGTCCAGGTCTGGTCCTGAGTCTGCCCCCTGTTCGTGTCGTCGTCTGTCTCACGAGACCCTCCTCTGGCACCACCGCCTTGGCCACCCCTCTCTGCTTCGGCTCAGAGGCATGGCCTCCCGTCTTCTTGTGTCTGGTCTTCCCCGGTCCCTCCCTCCCCTTCCTCAGGGCCCTGGCCCTGCCTGTGTCCCCTGTGTTGAGGGGCGCCAGCGTGCTGCCCCTCACTCCTCCCAGTTTCCTCCGACAGAGGCCCCGTTGCAGACGCTTCACATGGACGTGTGGGGCCCAGCCCGCGTCCGTGGACAGGGTCAGGAGCGCTACTTCCTGCTTGTTGTTGACGACTACTCGCGTTACACCACAGTCGTCCCCTTGCGCAGCAAGGGTGATGTCACTGCGGTGCTGATCGACTGGATCCGCGCAGCTCGTCTCCAGCTCAGGCAGAGCTTTGGCTCTGACCTTCCTGTTTTACGTCTGCACTCGGACAGAGGCGGAGAGTTCTCCTCTGGCCTTCTGCGTGCCTACTGCCGTGCACGAGGCATCCGTCAGACCTTCACGCTTCCGGACTCACCGCAGCAGAATGGGATTGCAGAGCGCCGCATTGGCATGGTCATGGACGTCGCTCGTACGTCCATGATGCATGCAGCAGCTCCCCATTTTCTGTGGTTGTTTGCGGTCAGGTACGCGGCGCATCAGATCAACCTCCACCCCAGGGTCTCCAGACCGGAGACCTCCCCAGCCCTGCTGTGGACGGGGAAGATTGGCGATGCGTCGGCGTTCCGGGTCTGGGGATCTCGTGCGTTTGTTCGCGACTTGTCTGCGGACAAGCTGTCCCCTTGCGCTGCTCCCTGCGTCTTCCTGGGGTTCCCCCCCGACGCCCCTGCGTGGCAGTTCTACCACCCCACCTCTCGCCATGTTCTATCCTCCCAGGACGTCACGTTTGACGAGTCGGTACCCTACTACCGCCTCTTCCCCTACCGCACTCCGTCCCTCCCACCGCCCCCGCTCTTTCTTGTCCCAGGTCCCCCCCCGGTAGACCCCCTTCCCCCTCAGGGTCCTGCCCCGTCAGGTGTGTCCCAGGTAGACGCAGTCGAGCCTGTTGAGGTCACTGGTGACTCTGGTGCTGCTGGAGGTGCTGAGCCTGGGGGTGCTACGTCTGGGGGTGCTGAGCCTGGGGGTGCTGAGCCTGGGGGTGCTGAGCCTGGGGGTGCTACGTCTGGAGGTGCTGAGCCTGGGGGTGCTACGTCTGGGGGTGCTGAGCCTGGGGGTGCTGAGCCTGGGGGTGCTACGTCTGGGGGTGCTTAGCCTGGAGGTACTGAGCCTGGGGGTGCGGAGCCTGGGGGTGCTGCGCCTGGGAGTGCTGAGCCTAGGAGTGCTGAGCCTGGGGGCTCTTTCGGTACTTTGTCTCGCCGGGAGCCACTCTCTCCACAGGAGTTGCGCGAGTGGTTTGCCCGGCGCTGGAGCCGTGCTTCTGGTGCTACTGGAGGTTCTGAGGCTGCTGGAGGTGCTGCTGGAGGTTCTGGAACTGCTTAAGGTGCTGCTGGCGGATCTGAGGCTGCTGTAGGTGCTGCTAGGGGTTCTGGAGCTGCTGGAGGTGCTGCTGGCGCGGGTACTCCTGCTAGGGGTACTGGTCCTGTCCCTGCTGTGTCTGGTGTAGCCGCGCGGCCCCGACCGTACTTCGTTCCGCTCCTGCAGCAGGTTCTTGGTCTTACACCTTCTCTTGGTCCTCCTCCTCTTCCTTCCTTAGAGGGTCCACAGTCTGTCCAGTCACAGTCACAGCTACAGCCTGCCTCCCCTTTGCCTGCTCCGTCTCCCTACGCTGGTCCTACTGGAGGTCTTACTGAGCGTCGTGAGCCTGCGTCTCGTCCCGCGTCGCCTGTTCGTCCTGCGCGCGCTAGTGGTCGCGGTTCGCGTCAGCGTCCTCCTCCTGTCCCTGGCACGCACCGGATGTCCCTGCGTCCGACCACTGCTCCTCTGCGTGCCCCTTTGCCTTCCCCTCCTGCGTCCTCTCTTCCTGCTCTTGCCGACCCTGCGTCGGACTCTCTTCGTGCTGCCAGTCCTTCTGTCACGCGTCTCCTTGCTACTGCCGTCACTGACCCTTCTTTTCGAGTCCACTGCTGCGTCTGCCCTTGTCACTGAGCTCGTCGACTTTGCTGCTCGCTGTCGTCTAGACTACGCTGCTAGTCTCGTCGTTGAGTCTGAGTCCGCCTGTCCTCCGTCCGTCGGGGGTGAGTGTGCCCTTGGCACGGACGTCCTTGAGGACAGCCAGGAGGAGTTCTTGTGCCTAGCAGCCGCTTCACCTCATCTCGTGTCCGTACTGCTCACTTCTGAGGGAGACCCGGATGCACTTGACATCCCGACTCCGCGCTCTTACGCGGAGGCGATAGAGGGTCCCTACTCCTCTCAGTGGCAGGCAGCTATGGATACAGAGATGGCTTCCTGGAAGTCCACAGGCACCTACGTTGACGCAGTTCCCCCTCCTGGGGCGAACATAGTCAGTGGCATGTGGATCTTCAGGGTGAAGCGGCCACCGGGTTCTCCGCCTGTCTTCAAGGCGCGTTACGTGGCTCGTGGTTTCAGTCAGCGGTAGGGAGTTGACTTCTTTCAAACCTTCTCCCCGACTCCGAAGATGACCACTCTTCGGGTACTACTGCACGTTGCTACTCACCGTGACTACGAGCTGCACTCTCTCGACTTCAGCACTGCTTTCTTGCAGGGCAGCCTGCACGAGGAGATCTGGCTACGCCGCCCTCCTGGCTTCACTGGGTCTTTCCTTCCTGGTACCCAGTGGAGTCTCCGGCGGCCAGTCTACGGTCTCAGCCAGGCGCCGCGTGAGTGGCACGACACACTGAGGACTACGCTGGCGGCACTTGGGTTTGCTCCTTCTACTGCCGACCCGTCGCTGTTTCTACGCACCGACACTTCTCTGCCGCCGTTCTACATCCTCGTGTACGTCGACGACTTGGTCTTTGCCACAGCTGACACTGCTGGACTCGCCTACGTGAAGTCCGAGCTGCAGAAGAGACACACGTGCACTGACCTGGGTGAGCTGCGCAGCTACCTTGGCTTGCAGATCACCCGGGACAGAGCACGCCGCACCATCACCCTGACTCAGTCACACATGGTGCAGCAGGTCCTTCAGCGCTTCGGCTTCACGTACTCCTCGCCTCAGGCCACTCCTCTGCCTACTCGCCACTCGCTCTCAGCTCTGCCTTCGGATGAGTCCGTAGAGTCGAGTGGCCCGTATCCAGAGCTTGTCGGCTGCCTCATGTACCTGATGACCTGCACACGACCTGACCTTGCATACCCTCTTAGCATTCTTGCACGCTATGTTGCTCCTGGGAGACACAGACCAGAGCACATGGCTGCAGCGAAGAGGGTGTTGCGCTACTTGTGCAGTACGTCGGGCATGGGGCTAGTGCTTGGAGGGCGCAGTCCAGTGGTCCTCACTGGGCACGCGGACGCTTCTTGGCCTGACGACCAGGCTACGCAGCGGTCGTCACAGGGTTACACTTTCAGTCTTGGTTCCGGCTCTGTTTCGTGGCGGGCTACCCGCTCGTCTTCTGTTCTCGGCTCCAGTTGTGAGGCTGAGATCTACGCCGGGGCTATGGCTGCCCAGGAGCTTCGCTGGCTCACCTACCTGCTGACCGACCTTGGAGAGCCGCCTCGTTCTCCTCCAGTCTTGTACGTAGACAACAAGGCCATGCTGGCCTTGTGTCGAGAGCAGCGACTGGAGCACAGGAAAAAGCACACTGCTCTCCGCTACTTTCTTGCGCGTCAGCTGCAGCAGCGTGGACAGTTGCGTCTTGCGTACGTGGCCTCTGAGGCCAACACTGCTGATGTCTTCACCAAGGCACTTGCGCCTTGTGATCATCAGCGTTGTTGCACGCAATTGGGTCTTGTGCCTGTCTTGCCTCACTTGCTCTCCTCTTGACTTTGCTTGTACTCTAACATATATATACTCTTGCTCTTGCTTGCTTAGCCTCTTGTATATCTATATATGTGATTTTGCATGTGAACTGGCCTTTTGGCCTTTGAACTTATGCTCGGAATGTGTGGTGACTTTGTGATCCACCCTGAGCTTTGCTTTGCTTTGCTTGACTGGTCTTGTGACCCCTTGTTCTCCCCCACTTTGCCTATGAAGATGTGTCAGAACATTATAGCTTACTTATTTGTGTAGGCTATAGTGGGGTATCTCATAGGGGGTACAACCCAATTAGAGTTTCATATATGCACTCAGTTGGGCCTTGTGCCTGTCTTGCCTCACTTGCTCACTACTTGACCTTGTTTGTACTGTCACATATATATTCTCTTGCTCTTGCTTGCTTAGCCTCTTCTTTACCTACATATGTGATCTTGCTTGTGAACTGGCCTTTGGCCTTTGAACTTGTGCTCGGAATGTGTGGTGACTTTGTGATCCACCCTGAGCTTTGCTTTGCTTTGCTTGACTGGTCTTGTGACCCCTTGTTCTCCCCCACTTTGCCTATGGGGGTGTGTCAGAACTATATAGCTTATGCTATTGTGTAGGCTATGGTGGGGTATCCCATAGGGGGTACAACCCAATTAGGGTTTCCTATATGTACTCACTTCGTTCATAGTCATTCCATTCTCGTTCACTTCTTCTCAAAGACCACTAGATTCCGTGTACTATGCGAGATCTGAGCGGTTCCGTTCTCCCAGGCATTTACACTCTAAGTTCCTATACTGACCGACCTGGTCAATGCACCATTTTCCATGTACATGTGCATTAGATTCCTTTCGAACCTTATTAGCTCACTAGATTTATATATTTCCCACCGTGTGATTGAGTGAGATTGCTAGATTCCCTCTAGTTTATGAGAAACGAGCGTTTCCGTTCTCCCTGGCCCCACTTGCACTACAAGTGCGAAATGACGGCCAGACTGGCCGATGCACCATTTTCTCTACACATGTGCGTTAGTTACCTTTCAAACCCTTACGTTCACTCGATTAATATATTTCCTACTTTATATTTGGGTGAGACTACTAGATTCCGTGTACTATGCGAGATCTGAGCGGTTCCGTTCTCCCAGGCATTTGCACTCTAAGTTCCCATACTTACCGACCTGGCCAATGCACCATTTTCCATATACATATGCATTAGATTCCTTTTGAACCTTATTAGCTCACTAGATTTATATATTTCCCACCTTTTGATCGAGTGAGACCGCTAGATTCCCTCCACTTTTTGAGAAACGAGCGTTTCCGTTCTCCCTGGCCCCACTTGCACTATAAGTGCGAAATGCCGGCAAGACTGGCCGATGCACCATTTTCTCTACACATGTGCATTAGTTACCTTTCAAACCCTTACATTCACTCGATTAATATATTTCCTACCTTATATTTGAGTGAGACCACTAGATTCTGTGTACTATGCGAGATATGAGCGGTTCCGTTCTCCCAGGAATTTGCACTCTAAGTTCCCATACTGACGGACCTGGCCAATGCACCATTTTCCATATACATATGCATTAGATTCCTTTCGAACCTTATTAGCTCACTAGATTTATATATTTCCCACCTTCTGATCGAGTGAGACCGCTAGATTCCCTCTAATTTTTTAGAATTGAGCGTTTCCGTTCTCCTTGGCCCCACTTGCACTATAAGTGCGAAATGATGGGCAGACTGGCCGATGCACCATTTTCTTTACACATGTGCGTTAGTTACCTTTCAAACCCTTAAGTTCACTGGATTAATATATTTCATACCTTATATTCGAGTCAGACCACTAGATTCCGTGTACTATGCGAGATCTGAGCGGTTCCGTTCTCCTAGGCATTTGCACTCTAAGTTCCCATACTGACCGACCTGGCCAATGCACCATTTTCCATATACATATGCATTAGATTCCTTTCGAACCTTATTAGCTCACTAGATTTATATATTTCCCACCTTCTGATCAAGTGAGACCGCAAGATTCCCTCTACGTTTTGAGAAACGAGCGTTTCCGTTCTCCCTTGCCCCACTTGCACTATAAGTGCGAAATGCCGGCCAGACTGGCCGATGCACCATTTTCTCTACACATGTGCGTTAGTTACCTTTCAAACCCTTACGTTCACTCGATTAATATATTTCCTACCTTATATTTGAGTGAGACGACTAGATTCCGTGTACTATGCGAGATCTGAGCGGTTCCGTTCTCCCAGGCATTTGCACTCTAAGTTCCCATACTGACCGACCTGGCCAATGCACCATTTTCCATATACATATGCATTAGATTCCTTTCAAACCTTATTAGCTCTCTAGATTTATATATTTCCCACCTTCTGATCGAGTGAGACCGCTAGATTCCCTCTACTTTTTGAGAAACGAGCGTTTCCGTTTTTCTTGGCCCCACTTGCACTATAAGTGCGAAATGCCGTCCAGACTGGCCGATGCACCATTTTCTCTACACATGTGCGTTAGTTACCTTTCAAACCCTTACGTTCACTCGATTAATATATTTCCTACGTTATATTTGAGTGAGACCACTAGATTCCGTGTACTATGCGAGATCTGAGCGGTTCCGTTCTCCCAAGCATTTGCACTCTAAGTTCCCATACTGATCGACCTGGCCAATGCACCATTTTCCATATACATATGCATTAGATTCCTTTCAAACCTTATTAGCTCACTAGATTTATATATTTCCCACCTTCTGATTGAGTGAGACCGCTCGATTCCCTCTACTTTTTGAGAAACGAGCGTTTCCGTTCTCCCTGGCCCCACTTGCACTATAAGTGCGAAATGCCGGCCAGACTGGCCGATGCACCATTTTCTCTATACATGTGCGTTAGTTACCTTTCAAACCGTTACGTTCACTCGATCAATATATTTCCTACCTTATATTTGAGTGAGACCACTAGATTCCGTGTACTATGCGATATCTGAGCGGTTCCGTTCTCCCAGGCATTTGCATTCTAAGTTCCCATACTGACCGACCTGGCCAATGCACCATTTTCCATATACATATGCATTCGATTCCTTTTCGAACCTTATTAGCTCACTAGATAAATATATTTCCCACCTTCTGATCGAGTGAGACCGCTAGATTCCCTCTACTTTTTGAGAAACGAGTGTTTCCGTTCTTCCTGGCCCCACTTGCACTATAAGTGCGAAATGCCGGCCAGACTGGCCGATGCACCATTTTCTCTACACATGTGAGTTAGTTACCTTTCAAACCCTTACATTCACTCGATTAATATATTTCCTACCTTAAATATGAGTAAGAGCACTAGATTCCGTGTACTATGCGAGATCTGAGCGGTTCCGTTCTCCCAGGCATTTGCACACTAAGTTCCCATACTGACCGACCTCGCCAATGCACCGTTTTCCATATGCATATGCATTAGATTCCTTTCAAACCTTATTAGCTCACTAGATTTATATATTTCCCACCTTCTGATTGAGTGAGACTGCTAGATTCCCTCTACTTTTTGAGAAACGAGCGTTTCCGTTCTCCCTGGCCCCACTTGCACTATAAGTGCGAAATGCCGGCCAGACTGGCCGATGCACCATTTTCTCTACACATGTGCGTTAGTTACCTTTCAAACCCTTACGTTCACTCGATTAATATATTTCCTACCTTATATTTGAGTGAGACCACTAGATTCCGTGTACTATGCGAGATCTGAGCGGTTCCGTTCTCCCAGGCATTTGCACTCTAAGTTCCCATACTGACCGACCTGGCCAATGCACCATTTTCCATATACATATGCATTAGATTCCTTTCAAACCTTATTAGCTCTCTAGATTTATATATTTCCCACCTTTTGATCGAGTGAGACTGCTAGATTCCCTCTACTTTTTGAGAAACGAGCGTTTCCGTTTTTCTTGGCCCCACTTGCACTATAAGTGCGAAATGCCGTCCAGACTGGCCGATGCACCATTTTCTCTACACATGTGCGTTAGTTACCTTTCAAACCCTTACGTTCACTCGATTAATATATTTCCTACTTTATATTTGAGTGAGACCACTAGATTCCGTGTACTATGCGAGATCTGAGCGGTTCCGTTCTCCCAAGCATTTGCACTCTAAGTTCCCATACTGATCGACCTGGCCAATGCACCATTTTCCATATACATATGCATTTGATTCCTTTCAAACCTTATTAGCTCACTAGATTTATATATTTCCCACCTTCTGATCGAGTGAGACCGCTCGATTCCCTCTACTTTTTGAGAAACGAGCGTTTCCGTTCTCCCTGGCCCCACTTGCACTATAAGTGCGAAATGCCGGCCAGACTGGCCGATGCACCATTTTCTCTATACATGTGCGTTAGTTACCTTTCAAACCGTTCCGTTCACTCGATCAATATATTTCCTACCTTATATTTGAGTGAGACCACTAGATTCCGTGTACTATGCGAGATCTGACCGGTTCCGTTCTCCCAGGCATTTGCACTCTAAGTTCCCATACTTACCGACCTGGCCAATGCACCATTTTCCATATACATATGCATTAGATTCCTTTTGAACCTTATTAGCTCTCTAGATTTATATATTTCCCACCTTCTGATCGAGTGAGACCGCTAGATTCCCTCTACTTTTTGAGAAACGAGCGTTTCCGTTTTTCTTGGCCCCACTTGCACTATAAGTGCGAAATGCCGGCCAGACTGGCCGATGCACCATTTTCTCTACACATGTGCGTTAGTTACCTTTCAAACCCTTACGTTCACTCGATTAATATATTTCCTACCTTTTATTTGAGTGAGACCACTAGATTCCGTGTACTATGCGAGATCTAAGCGGTTCCGTTCTCCCAGGCATTTGCAATATAAGTTCCCATACTGACCGACCTGGCCAATGCACCATTTTCCATATACATATGCATTAGATTCCTTTCAAACCTTATTAGCTCACTAGATTTATATATTCCCCACCTTCTGATCGAGTGAGACCGCTAGATTCCCTCTACGTTTTGAGAAACGAGCGTTT